ATTTAAAATACAAGGAATTATTAAATTAGTGAACTATTTATTTTTCAAGATGTCAGTTTTTTTTTTTTTTTTTTTTTGGTAGAAATGGTATCTGTTAAATATAGGCATTTTTTTGTGTTAAACTGAAGATATGTGTGAGAAAGAGAAATGCTTATTAAATTTTGTGAATCGATGCATTTGTAAAGAATCCAAAAATGCTACTTAGTTTTTCAAATATTATTTAGAATCCCATTCTTTAGATAACTTCGTTATTCAATAATTTTCAGTACTGTCTAAGCCAGTTTTGATGTACTTCTTCAACATTTTTTTTGAGTAAATTCTGGAAAAAACTTAACTAAAAACTTATTAACTGGATAGTTTTGACGATGTTATCTCCATTTTTCAAACATAGAAATTGTGGTTTTCAGCAAAAGCAAGGTATTTGTGCTAGATCAGAATAGGTAACAGTTTAAGCCAAGCTGGCATTCAAAGTTTTAAAAGGATCATCTTAATCACAAGTATATGAATGTTTCAGTACTGGAAGCAGATTTGAAGGTGTGTTTATTAATTAAGTTTTTAAAGGAAGAGCGACAATACTTTCATATTAACTACTGTTCGGAATTTCAATTTTTGCTAGCACAAACTGAGCTACAACTCTTACTGGAGACTTGAATTGTTGATCTATGCACTGAGAATTTGAGCAATGGGAGCATATGTGATTTGAGCTGTGGAAGCCATTTTCCAGACTGAGGGAAGGGGGAAGAAATGAGTTTTAACTTTTGATTCATTATTTTGCAAATTGAGTTCAGTGTTTCATTATTTTGTAGATTGCAGAAATCCATTAAAAAAGTAACAAATGAAAAAGAGGTTAAATGATAAGGTGTATTGAAGCTATAAAATAAGGCTGAACGTACAGTTATAATTTTTCCACAGCAGGAAAAACCATGGGAAAAACTGGTCTGAAGAATAAGGTTCCTTCCTTTGAAACTAAATGGAAGAAACAAATTTTTGAACTCATTTCATATTCTTATTGTATTTTATCCATGTATAGCATTTTGTATTATTAATTTAAATACCTTCATTTTGTATATTGATTTAACTAGCCTCATTTATATGTTTGCAACTGCTGGCTTTTTTTCCAGTTAAATATCTATATCTATATATGATTATTTTGAAGTTAATGAAATAGCCAATTGAACATGTTTTATTTCTGGATGAAACAATTCTTGAGAAGCATATTTTTAAATTGAATTACACAGCCTGAAGGTTCAATCTGGGTGCATGTTCTTGATACATATGGGCCGTTTTACCTTGTCAGGACAACATAGTGTTTGAAAGAGAGGTAAGCCGCAACATGTTGGCAGACAGGAAGAGAGAAATGGAATGTGAGGGTCTCAGAAGATTTCAGAATGATATAGTTTATTAGCTTTATTTTGATTGATTAATATTAATTTTGGTTGCCAAATTAGAAATCATTATTGGTGAAGCATATATAAGTACCTACAAGAATATTAATTTAAAAATGATGCAGTTTAGAGAGGTTTATGCCGAGTTAGAGAGTTTAGAGCAGTTACTATTTTAGGATGGAAAAGGGATGATCGATGGAAAAAGGAGATAACTAAATTTAATGGAAAGTTGAGGTACTGTTAAAAATTAATTTGATTTCCATATTTTTACCATACCATATATAGGTAACTTTTTAAAAAAAAAAAAAATTGGTTATATGTACTTTCACGTGTGTGAATATAGACTAAAGACTGAAACTGAATTTAAATTCATATCAGTAACAAATATAGCAAAATAATGCAGTTATTTAAAATGAATTGGAAACAAAATTGAAGCAAAGAAAATTTAATTACATTTAAAAATTAGTAAAAGCAATGTAACCAAACATAGTATTTTCATTTATTTATTTATACTGCATACAGTAACTCATTGTGTAATTTTGAGTGGGTAGATTTAATAGAGGAGAAAATGTGCACTATACCAATTAAAGAAAAAAGGAGAAATTACTGGACGAAGGAAAAAAAAATGTAAAACAAAATATTGTATAAATTGGGGCATTACTAAGCTATTGAAATTGTCAGAAAAATTATTATTCAAATATACTAATTAAAAAAATGAATTTGCTAATAAAATTTTGAATTGTAATAATTTCTCATTGGTCTAATATGTCTGAGAGAATGCAAAAATCAATGAAATGCATATTATTAAGAAATATGAATTCTAATCCATTTTTATTGGTGTTTTTTAAAAAAATTCTTTAATTACTTTGTTATAAAAATAGAACATTAAATTAAATTATTATTAGTTATCTTTTCACTCTTAGGTATGGAAATGTTAGAGGCATAGTTGCAGAAGGCAGATTTTAAATTGTAATTTATTGCCATATCAGTACCATCCAAAATTCCTGAGAGTAATTAAAATGCTATTTTGGGGTAATAGGGTATCGTGCGACTCACTGCCCTAAAGCTTCATTCAGACGGGGATGTAAAGGCCATAAGTGGTTTAAGCCAAGCTCCGTTGCCAAGGCAACCAGTCTGTGCTACGTCACAAAATCTGGTTTAGGGCTCGTGGCACAGGATTCAAAGTTTTCAACTTTACGCCAAGTTTTGGATAAGCATCGACCAATCAGAGCGAAACTAAAATGAAGCGGCGTTTTACAGAAGATTTTGCTGTCACAAAACAAGCACAGCAAACGCGGGAAGTCAATTGAGCAGGAGAACAGCACGAGAAAGTTGTAGACACATCGACGCATGTGCAAATTTAGCTTCTCCCACTGGCCACGGCTTACACCCCGTTCTCGGAAGTGTGAACAGAATTCCCATATTTCATGCCCTTATGACTACGCCTCTATGCCCTTTACGCCGCCGTCTGAACGTAGCCTAAGAACACCTATTATCTACTTTGGAATTGAATTGACTGATTGAGCTCTATGGGTTTAAAAAGTTATGCAATTATTACAAGCTGTGATTTTTATAATTACTATTTTGTGAAAAAATGTAGGACTCATAAGTAAATTGATTTGCTGTTATTTTATTATATAAAGCTGTATTGATTGAATTTTTATTGCAGAATGATTACAGATATACAGCTTGCTATATTCGCCAATGTTCTGGGCGTGACGTTGTTTCTTCTGGTTGTTCTTTATCATTATGCCTCTGTTAGCAATCCAAAGAGAACAGACTAAAACAAAAGGTAATTTTTTTGTTTCAATAATAATTACATATTTATATAATAGATTGAAAAATGTACAGTAAAAGCTTAACTATCTAGAATGCTTGGAAAATGCCAAAATTCTGAATAGCATATACAAAATACAGTTCACGGTAAAAAAACCATGTGGATGGAAAAAGAAAATTTCATTCTAAAATTATAAAAACAGTCATCATCTTTGCTATGAGTTTCCAAAAGCCTGTGTTTAAAATCGTATAAAATTTCGGAAAAACATATTTCATGGCCTTCAATATAAGAAATTAAAGCATCTTATCCGATTATAAAATGCTGTCAATCATGAAAGCTCGTGGGGGTGCAGATAAACATCCGTCAATCATTATGGTAAAAACTTGAAAAAGATCATTCTTAATTTAATTAGAATCATAAGAATTCAAGTCATAGTTATAGTATGTAAAAAACTTAGACATATTATAATTTTTCACATTCCATTGTCATTATTTGTTTTCAAATAAAGTTGCATATCATCTTCATTAAAATACATTTTTCTTAATGCCATGATCCTGTAATTTTAAGAATGCTCCATGTTGTTCTATAAAAAAAAGGATCCAAAATTATAACCATTTTTCAAACGACAGGTGGGAAACAGTTAAATATATTTTCTTACGAAACTGGCTTATCAAGAATTGAAGAAATAAATGGGCCTAAACAGATTGTAACATCAGTGAACATTTTTAATGACGGAGATAATTTAAACACAGTTGCGTACAGCAGAGAAAAGGCGAAAAGTAAGAAAAGCATACATGTACATAGATATGTAATAAGCAGTTACGTCGTGGCGCGCAATGAACTGGAAAATGATCTGTCATCACTATCCTTATCTTCAGGGCAGATGTTTTTATTTTTATTCGGCTTATAATTCCTTACTAAATGTAGTATTTGTGCGCTTTGAAAGAAATGTTTAATAAAGTAAACAAATAAATGTTAAGCTTTTTTTTATAAATTTTGATACCCTTTAGATCATAATTGCTCTTTATTTCATAAATTACGGTTTCATATTTTTAATTTTATAATTTCTGCATGCCATCTTACCAGATTTAAATTGATGATCTATAATCTGGAATCGCTGAAAGTCCCGACGAGTCCGGATTAAAGACTTTTGACTGTTAAAATACAAGATGCAAAATATAAATAAAATAAATCATTTTATAAGAAATTTCACAGACTATATGTAAAATTTTATTTTTTAGTAGCTTTACATTTTTATTGAATTTCTCAAAATGATATATGCTACTAACATGAGATTATTTCAGAATCAATTTAAATATTTATCTTGTAATTGTTTTAAAGGAAATTTATCACCAAATCATGTTTTTTAATATATTTATGTTTGCTGTATAGATTTTTTGAATAAAAAATTTTTTTGCATTATTTTGTTTAGTGCCATATGTATTATTATTGTTATTTTAAGGTTAGGATGTTACATTTGGTAGTTTTTCTGCCGTAATTTGAATACTTGGAGAAATTTCATGTACTGTTACTGAAGAGAAGCTATCAAATGTAAAAATTAGTTATAATCATAGACTTAATGGCACTTCGCAAAAATTTTCTGCGAAATTAAGGCAATTGGCAACAAATTCTGTATGGAATGTTGTTTTACTTAAAACAATCTTTTTCTAGTTTTTGTTTTAAAATCTGGATAGTACATATTTATGCAGATGAAAATAGTGTGATGTGAATTGAATTTTAAAAAACACAATTTGAGTGATTTTTTTTTTTTGTAATTTAAAAATGCTATTGTTTTTCTCCCCAATAGTCTATTTACTTGATTTTTTTTTTCTTTCATTTCAGGTTTTCGTGTCTATAGTGATTGGTGTACACTGCAGTTTAATCATTCAGAATGTCTTAATCAGTTGTGAAAAAAATTTTCATTTTCATGTAAATAAATTTTTTTTCTAAATATTGTGTGTCTTTTATGAAAACTTTCAAAACTCTTTTTAGTCATTATGACTGTTTTTATTCCATTTTGTTTGTAGAAAAAGCATTTTTAAAATTTTCAAAAATAAAATTTACTGTAATGTGTGTAAATGTGGAATGGCTATCAGTAGCTTTAATTTTTTTTCATTTATCAGTATATTCTTATTTATGTTGTGCTTACAATATATATTCCTTTTTTATCATCAGTATGAACAGTCATATATGTGTATGTATTAAATATAAGATTAGTGTCTCTGCACATGTGATGCATACTCTGCAGGCCTATAAATTTAAAATTGGTGAAAATAATTATTGTTTTCCAATTCATTCATGTAGTAAAAGCTTTGTTAGCTGTGTTTAATCTGTAGATATGCATTGAATTATCAATTTTAGAGTTAAAAATTCAAAACAAAATGAATTGGGTGCTACCACATCTTGTGTAGTCCCCATTGATGTGTAGCCAGTGATCATTATTTGTCCCTTTTTCAGGATGAGAGGACAATGCATGTTAAAGAATATGCCACATTTGTTTGATGGAATGCTGGTAAAGAAGTGTCCTCAGAATTCAAGTATTGAGTTATTGCAATGTAAAAAATTATTCAATACTGTATATACTCTATTTAAATTTTTGAAAAATGTTTTAAATTAAAATCTCGCTGCCTGCAATGAACATTACACCTTTTTTTTTTAATGTTGTTAACAGTATTTCTGGCTAGTTTCATGATAAACTAGATCATATAAATGAGACTTTCTGGAGCTAATTTATTTCAGTGTTGGTAACTAAACTGACAAAATTCTGTTTTTTTATAAATGCACCGGATGAAGCCATTTTGACTTCAAAATAAGCCACTGCAAAATGTGTAAAGAACCATTAAAATAATATTTCTAGTAATAAAACCATGAATATGTAGCTTTTAAGGAACTTAACCGTTTTACTCTCATTGTATAAAACTGTACTATTATGCTGTAAGGGAAAAACAAATTATATATCAAACTGAAATCTCTCTCTTATATGTCATGCTGTATATTATTTTGGAGAAATTATCTTAAGTGCAGTTTTCCAATTCATCAAAAATTTTTATTTTTTATAATTCACATTTAATAAGGGATTTAACAGTATTATTATCAAGATACGAATTTTTATTTCTTCCAATCATTTGCATTCATAAAGTTTTTTAATTCTTCTTATATCGCTGTTACTGAGTCCTTTTTTGTCATAAACATCCACAAGTTTTCTTCCTCTTTCTTTAGCTGTCATGGTCTTTGTCCAACCATCCTTTGAGAAAGTTCTTTCTCCGTAGAGCATTATAGAGTCATAGTCGAAAGTGTCCAAGAGTCTGTTTTCAGAGGGGCTTAGTTTATAAAATTGATCTTTAGCACCTAAGGGAGAAATATTATTTAGTGTTCTGTAAGCCCTAGTTCATAGAACCAATCTTTAGCATTTAAGAGAATAATTATATTTTTAAGGTTATTTTGTTTTAAAAAGTTTGTTACATTTACATGCATCACCCGCCAATGGGGATAGCCAAAGTAAATCACAGAAAAAGGTGCAGTCAACCCGGTGAGAAAAAGGATCCAGCTTAGATTCAATTGAATATCTTATTGATAAAAAATTTGTTCCTCTCACAGATCCAAATTCTGTTCAGTGTACAGGCAGATACATTATTGGATACATAGATGCAAAGTAATTCTTGGCAGAATATTTTAAGAAAAACTTTAAACCTTGTAGTGTTTGGTGTTGAAAGAACGAGTTATTGCCTTCCTAAGCAAATATTGGGAAATGTAGGGAAAGTAACTTTACATGTGCAGGTAAAGCATGAACTCCAAAAGGTGGTTTTTTTAAAGTTAAAAATCTACAAACGAAGGTAATATTGGGGATGGATTTCTTAAAATCTGAGGTGATGAAAATTAATTTTCAAGAAGCTGCTCTACAACTGGACATGAATGAAGTTGTGGTAAAAGAAGAACCAGCCATCAGCATTGGGCTTGAAGGAAAGGAACAGGGATGAGAAAACGAAGCTTGAGCAGCTGGGAAGAAAATTTTCTGATTTATTTCAGGAGGCTTCAGGATTAACTCAAGGGGTAAATTGCAGTGTAGAAACGTCAAATCACCCCTCCCCCCCCTTGGTGAACAAAACTCTACCGCTGTGATAAGGTCAAAGAAGATATTATTGAAAAACCTATTGCAGAAATGTTAAAGAATAAAGTTATAATCTGCATAAATAGCCCTTGTGGTAACCCTGTAGTACTGTGAAAAAAAAAAAAAAAAAAAGAAAACCTCCCTGTTACAGATTTTAAAGCACAGCGTTTTGTAACACTAATCAACGTTTTAAAGCATGATACTAGAAAATTAAATACCATAGCAAAACATCTAGTTTACCCATTACCAGTAACTCGGGAAATTATTGAAATAAAATTCACAAAATATATGATGACATTAGATCTCACCTTTGGATACTTTCAGATATGTGTGAAACTAGAAGGCGTGCCAAAAATGCATTTATTACCAAATCGGGAGTTTATGCCTTTCTAAGAATGCTATTGGCTTATGCCAAGTACCCGCCGTCTTTCAAAGGGCTATGGATATTATTCTAAGACCTCTCCTCGGAAAATCTACGTTTATTTACTTCAACAATGCAATTGTTACTAGCGAAACAATTGATGAACATATTCGGGATTTACACAAAGTGTTTTCCTTTCTAAAAGAAGCAGGATTAAAGCAGCTGAAGAGCTTCATTACCTGGCTATAAGATATCTCAAAGGGGAATGGAGACAGTAGATTCTAAAATATTACCCACCAGGCTAATATAATAAAAAAGTTATCATTTTTAGGCTTACTATTATAGGACTTGTACAAAAGAGTTTGTTCATATAACAGAATTACAATAAAACTTTAAAAAAAAAAAAAAAAAAAAAAAAAAAAAGGCCGAAGCAAATGCAGCTTTTGAGAGACTTCAGGCTCCCATCTTTAAATTTCCCAAAGTGGACAGCAATTAGAAATCTCTGTAGATGCATCGGATTTTGCGGTAGGAGCTCTGCTTAAGCAGGACAGGCAGCTAGTTGTATATATATTGCAGTAAGATATCTAACCCAATGCAAAGAAACTCCCACTAATGAGAGGGAAATATTAGCAGTTTTTTGGTGGTTCAGAAATTTCCAATTTATTTTGAGAAGACACCCATAAATGTCCATGCAGACTATGCAGCCGTGGATCATTTGTATTTCTAGAAAATGACTCGTAGATGGGCCCTTAAGTTGTAGGTATGCAATTAAATTTTTAAAAAGACTTCTGGGATAGAAAATGTAACTGATGCTCTGTCAACAACTAAATTACAGAAATTAAGTCAAATGCATATTAGTAGATTCAGAAATTTTAGATTCTTGCAAAACAATTCCTGCTAAATTACAAGCAGACCCACAGTTTAAAAATATTTATGCGTATTTGAAAATTCCTGACCACTGTAAACACCATGATATGATGGGTATTAGAAACAGCTGCAAATTATGAAATTATTGACAGTTTCTTATTTTACTCCAAAGTATAATAATTATAATGAATTAAGACCGTTATCCCCACGACTTTTAAGTATTTTAAGTACCTTGCAAGATGCGCCAATTTCAAGCCATCTGGTGATAAAAACAGTTCATATAATACGCTGTTTATTTTCCACAGCTGCAAAAATTACCCTATGTTTTAAGTCCGGCGACATTTGTTAATTAGTTAACGATTATAGCCCGGCCAGGTATTATAATTTTTATATATCGGGTTCTAACGAAAAGTTCACGCCAGCATGAATTATCTTTGAAAAACTACCAAAAGGTTGGCAGAAAATCATATGTTTGAGTGATGATTACTACCCGTACTAAAGGTACTGCTCTCATGATTTTTTTCTAACTTTATTAAGAATGTTTTTTGGCAGAAAATTTCCATTACAATCAGATATTATATTAATTATAGCCCGGTCGGTACCTTAGTAGCATGAAAGCTACTTTCCTTAATGAAGTGATAGGAACTGACCCACTAGGTCAATACCCATGTAGTAAGAAAAAAAAGAATAGATATTTGCTTGTAATTGCTGACAAAAAAAAAAAAAAAAAAAAAAAAAAAAAAAAAAAACTCTCTCACAGCTTCAAGAGAGAAAGATTCTAACAGAAGAGAAGTATTTCAAAACAGTTAAAAGAGAAATGAGAGCTAAAACTGTAACTCTCTTTAACACAAGAACATATATCGCCATTTTGGTTAAAGGAAATATGGGATCACTACGGCCGAAAATACGTATTTCAATGCCGTAAAAATGCACAGGAGTTCCGACATCCCTCATAGAATAAAGAATAGAATCCTGAACAATAAACTGAACAGCACTTCAGTCTCGAAAGCAGATACACAAAATTTTAAATTTGTTCATAGTTCCCTGTTTGTACCATAAGCAAAAGAAGAAAGCAATACTATTAAAACATTCTACTGAAACCTATGGTCTCAAAATGTGTTTCCTAGAAATTTTCAATATCGCACCAGGGCTCACCATTGGGAGAATGGTAACACACTACTGAACACTGGTAGTTCGATCCTGTTTCAAATATTCGTAAAAGAGCTGGCTACATGCTGTTTTCATCCTTTTTCTTATGCTTAACTTAAATGCATTTCCTTTAGAAAATCCTCTGTGAAAGCATCCGTCCCCATAAGCAGGTAGCTTTTGTATGCTTTATTTTATTCAGTCAAAGAACAAAATATCTCTAATATGCTAAGAACTATCTAGATTACAGTAAAGTGTACAATTTTTCAACTATCTATATTTTGGGTATTTTCACAATTTCATTGCCTGTTTACACAAAATTATGAATACTATAAAATTAATGAGGCAATAAAACACATAAAAGTATATTTAAATTTAAAAAAAAAAAAAGTTACTATCTAAAGAATTAGTACAGTCGCCCAGACGGTGTAGTGGTTAGGGGAGGTAAACCACGGAGTTAGCTTCTGACCCAGGTATAGATATATCCATGCAGAATTGGTTACCAACACAGCGGGAGTTAACCAATAGCTGCCAGGCCGCAGACGACATTTATAAAATGTAAAAAAGAAATATTTATGTGCATACAAGGCACTTGAAGAACAGTACAATCAAAATATATGTATATACATATAAATACCAACTCAGATTCAAATATATACACACTTACATAAATATATATTCCGAAACAAAAGTATACATACTCTCATTCATATTCATATATACATCTGTAATATACTTTATCATGAAGTTTACATGAAGCATGCCTTTGAGGTATGCATGATCCTTAGTATAAATTAGGTACTATAAATAAAAAGATATAAACATGTACAGATACAATACAAAATTTGTGTATGAAAACCTGGTGCTGCATAAATATAAAATTATTGAACATACATATTACATACTCTGTTGCTGACATATTGAACCAGCATATATACACTGGTGTGCAAAAATTAAGGACGAGACGGTTTTTTCAATATAACTTTGTACAAAAGCTTTCCAAATCAACACATTTAATACCGTAAGATCCCCAATACGTAAGGACATGAGTAATGTAAGCAACACTTACTAAAAGAGAAATCAGAGGGATAAAAAGAAGCTTTATTGAAAAAGTAGCATGGAGCGCAATGCGACTGAAGGCCGAAACATCTCTGTGATGGGTGTCCAGCAAGAAACATCCGGTCTTTAATAGGGGATATGATCTCCCCTGACTGCTAGGCAGGTTTCACAGTGTTTGCCCATGCTGAGAATGAGGGTGTCAATGAGTTGTTGAGGCATTGCTGCCCATTCGTCTTGCAGCGCCAATCAAAGTTCCGGAATCGTTACTGGTGGTAAGGTACAAGCTATCAAGCGTCTGCCTAGAAAATCCCATACATGCTCGATGGGATTGAGATCCGGAGATCGTGCCGGCCAATCCATACGTTCAATATCCTCACTCTCTAAGAGCTGTTGGGCAGCCACTGTGCGATGACATGGTGCATTGTCTTCCATGAAAAGGAACTGCGGACCCATAGCGCCTCTAAAAAGATGCACATATGGAAGAAGAATCTCGTTACAATAACGGGTCCCGTTGACTGAACCTGCGTCGAAGATGTGAAGGTCTGTACGACTACCAAGCATGATGCCTCCCCAAACGAGAACACCGCCACCTCCATACCTGTCCCTTTCAATGATGTTCAAGGGATGATTGCGGCTTCCCCGCTCTCCTCAGATGAGTATGCGATGAGAATCGCTACTCAGACTGAATCTGCTCTCATCTGTAAAGAGTACTCGTCCTCATTCATTGTCTCTCCAATTCCGGTGTTCCCGGCACCACAAAGAACGCCTTCTCCGATGAGCAGGCGTTAGAGGTACACACCGCACAGGGCGTCGTGCAAACAGACCACCACCGTGCAGTCTTCTGGCCACGGTAAAACGCGATATCGGTCGTCCAGTCACCTGTGTCGTGTGTCTAGCGATTTCTCCCGCTGTCTGCCGCGTGTTTTTTCTGGCCTGTAAGGCAATATACCGGTCATCTGCGGGGGTGGTTCCTCGTGGACGACCACTACTAAACCCCCGATAGCTGTTCCTGTAGTTTGAAATTGTCTCCAAAGTCGTGAAACGATGCTGTGAGCAATTCCGAACTCTGCAGCCACACTTGTCACACTGTGGCCTTCCTCCAACTTCCCAATGATTCGACCTCGGGTAAAAGCATACAGATGTCGTCTAACAGATTGATTATTCGCCATTTCTCGCTGAGGCAGCAACTCGGTGTGATTTTAACTGCTATACGGCGGTGCAATCTCTCTTTGCCAGAAATACTGATCTTACACCGACAACATGCTTTATACTACTCAGACACTCCCCCATTACGTCTACCTGCATATCTGCGCATGTGCTACCGTACATCACCTTACTTAATCTCCTGATTGGTCTTTCTGTCCGCTCTGCCTCTTTGTTCAGCTGATATGCTAATTTTTCTACTTCGTCCTTAATTTTTGCACACCAGTGTATTTCTAACGTTCATACTGCTATGCTTTGCAGGGCAAGTAATCTGTCTTCAGGTTAATAAATGTGTCAGTTTAAGAAGAGTTAATGTCGTACTGAAGGTGCCATGTCTAATTTTAAGAGAACTGTGCTTAGAAATGACGTTGTTAAAATCTAATGTGCGTTAGATATGACTTAAGTTTGTACTATCTTCCAGCATCAGAAGAGTAATTGCTAGTGGCTAAGGGGAGCCTACAACGATACCTAAGGGCCTGGGTTCGAATACCGAGATGACATAGATGTTTGTAAATGTATAGTGTCTGTGCTGTATGGCGGTACTCTAAATATGTGGCGAGCCGAAAGTCCTGTCATGTAGATTGGTGAAAGGGATTGGGTGGGGTGCTCTCACCCAAAATTGGGGTGGGAAATAGAAGTCCAACCTCTCTTTGAAATAGGCTTTGGCAACCATTGTTCCATGTAAAATGGACAAGACAACAACAGCAACAACAACATAAATTAGTATAATGTTACAACAAAACAATACACACAAAATAAATAAATAAACAATGCACAAGAAATAATCACGAAAAATATTTGCATAAATTAAAATGATATGTAAATTTAACTGCTTGGGAGAAGTTAAAGCTTTACTTACTATCCATGATTGCGCTCCAGTGAATATTTAGGTAGTCGTCTCTATCGGAACGAGTGTGTTCATGAAAGAAGCCAATGGTGTGTCCCAATTCATGCACAAGTGTAGGATGTTGAAAGCAGCCTTTTGAGAAAGAAAGGACTTGGATTCCTCCTGTTCTACCAACCTTGGAATAGCACCTGTAAAGAATGTTTCCTATACTACAAAGATAAAGCATAAAAGTTGTGTTAAAATATATTATTTTTAGAATTATTTCTAATTTACAAGAGTGGTGTATTTTAAGTTTATGAACTGGTTATTCAGTCCCGTATTTCCAGATCATTATTGCTTTTTAAAAGGTAAAGTGCTAGCTTCTCACTAAAATTTGTCTCTAATTAACTACGTGTCTGACTCATCATCTAGGTATATAAAATAATATGTAAGTATATCCACTTCGTTATTATTATTTTCCTAATTATTTGCTGGTAAATTTATTTACAGTATAGTTTAATTTGCTGCTGATTCCCTATTTATTTGTATGTGAATTACATTTCCTTTCTTTTTGATCGAATTTCAGTTTAAAGGTTTCATCGAACTATTGTTTTACATTTATAAGTATTTTTTTTATATATTGATAAAGTAGTCTAGTTCAGCGGTATTTCAAGGAATAACCCTTAGAATTTCAAGGGCCACTACATATACAATTTTATATTTGGATGACCTCAAATATGAATTAAAAAAAAAAAAAAAAAAAAAAAAAAAACACCTTAAATAAGACCTTAAAAACAACACATTAATACGCAAAAACAATATTCAACTTTCCAATACATGTAATTCTAAATTTCATTTGTTAATATAATTTTCGAAACATTTGGTGTTCAGCAGCATAACTTTATGGAAATTCAGGCTATGCCCCTGATTATGAGTAATAATTAAAACACTATTAACATCTTCCTGATACACATATTTCGTTCACATTGAAAAATTATACGAAAAGCACAAAAATCTTACCTTATTGTACAGAAAGCTTCACATTTCCATATCACTAAAAAGAAACCTCACGAAAAGCAAGAACAAACCGGCAAACTCAAAGCAATATCAATAAACTGAAAGCGTTATGTTGCCAATTTTTAATTATTGTAAACATAATAATCATTGCTTACTCAGCAATGGTGTCATCGATCAACAGTTAGTCAAAACGGAAACATCCAGTGATGCAATTATAAACAAGAATTCAGATGGTTCTCATAAAAATCCATCAAGTTGCCTATTGACACGGATAAAAACTGTGTTATTAATGACCACAGTAGCATATGTTTGTAATTCAAAAGGAAATAGAATTCCAGTTCGCGCTATTATTGATGACAGCAGCATAACCATGGATGCCAACTCTCACTTTCAAATGTCGCTAGATACACCTGCAAAAGCAGCTGAAAAGTCGCTTAAATTCAGAAGGAATTTTGCTAAGTAGTAGCTAAAATAAAATTAAAAAAAAAAAAGTATAATCCATATTCCATAATAGGTTTTGTTGCTCGTCATTTTTTAAACTGAATCTTCATAAAAATATAAGTAATGTCAGAATTGTTCTGCGGACCATCAAAACGTTTTCACGGACCACCGGTTGGCGACCGCTGCTCTTCGAACGCACTTATGTTTAAGCTGTCTAAATTTTCTGTTATTTTAATTACGTGTCGGAATATTCTAATGTATTTCGATCCCCATTAATATCTAAAAGAACGCAACTATCCACTTTAGCGAATTTCTTTTAGCATCGGCATACAGTAGATAATAATATTTCATTTACTGAATGTCATTTCATCAAGTAAAATAATTGCAAAAGGTATCTTAGATATGTTAATGTGGTTGTTGTTAATAACTATACTAACAGTTGATCAAATCATCATGTACTGTAGATGATATGTTTGCGAAAAATAGCAGATACATAAATAACTGAAATTGAACAATAAGTAGCTAAAAATTTCAACATCAACTTTGTTTAATAAATTGTCAGGCTCCTAACTGCACATGTTTTTCAAACAATGAACTGCATTAATCATTTTTAATAAAATAGTTTTGCTTCTTAACATTATTCTTTGTGTCTTCTTCTTTATATATAAGGATTAGTTCATTGCGATCTAGATGTTTAAAGTACTATTTTTGTGAGATGAAAGAATTCAATGGCTATAACTAAATGATTTAAACAACGAAAGCCAATTTTGTTTTAAGATCATGTACTATTAGAAAGAAACAAGTAAAACTGGCTTTGAAGAAAACGCACCAGCCGTCTTCCAATAATAATTAAAAATATCATTCATTTAAAAAATTAGATATTATATAATACAGCACAGTAAAACTAATAAAATATGCACTTGCACAAGCAAAAATGTGTATGATTGCAATTTGATGTAAAATCCAAATCCCATTTTTTTTTTTTTTTTTTTTTTTTTTTTAAACTGCGAAGACTGCTTACTAAGCAATAGCGTTGTGTCGCAACGACTTTTCCTTTTCTCGCCCCCTTTCACTGCCGAGTCTTTGCTTGGGGTGGCGAAGATATTCTGTTTGCGCTAGGATTGGTTCCTTTATTTTAAGATAAAAATGTGCCCATGATATTTCCTTCTTTCAAGCTAAAAATATGAACCAAGAAATTTCTTTATAATTGACTTATAGCTTACAGCACCAATCACTGACACTATTTTCTTTTCTTTCTTTTCACTATTTCCTAAATGTACGCTGCTGATTCAAACCCTTTTGAATAATAATACGTTAGTAGTTTTGGTTTGGTTCATTTTGATTAAGGCAAAGACTAAAGCTATCTGCCTAAACAGTGGGATGCTTTAGTAGAGGACTTAAGGGAAACTGGCTCGTACCTGCGTTACATTTGTAGAATGCCAATGACCAAGCAGCCAGTCCTTTCGCCTAAATCGAACCCAAGTCGAATACCAGTGTTCAGCGACTTTACCGATTAGCCGTTGGTGAGCTCCAATAATAACTTAAGTAATCATATTTTCAGTAAGGTAAATTTTGTCAGTTGTAATTTCATTCATATTATTTTAATAATCGGTGTATTCCTCTCAAACAAAATTTTACTAATTAATAACTTTGCCAATTTGGATAATTCAATTATCCTTTAGATGTGTAAGGTATTTTTCAATGCAAAGTGTTTGAAAAATAATGGTGGGCTTTAATGCTCTCGGTTAAAACAGTTACATATTTTACGCAGTAAGATATTGATTTATGAAAGCTTTCAGTGGTGAAGCTAGTAGCTAAGCTATAAACTTTGTTCATTTTATATGCTAAATGTCTATTTTAAATTTTATTTATTTATTTTTGCGAAAGAAAATGTTTGTCTTTACATCTTTTTCAGATGTTTATTTATATTTTTGAACATCTTCGTTTTTTGCAAATTAAATGTTTTTTTAATCCAATGACATTTTACCTTATTTACAACATGACTCAATTTTTAACCCTTATTTCATTTTTAATCTGAATTTCAATAAAAGCACCTCAGAATCCGGAAACCCAGGCCGAATTTACTTCTGAGTATTGATTATCCCTTTAAAAAGCTCTTACGAAAGCATCCTTTCCCTCTCCCTGATATATAGCACGTTCTTTAGGATACAAGTTTGAACATTTAGATGTATAAAATTCGTTGATTAGAATATTCAGTATTACTGCCAGAGATTTCCATGTTTCAGCTTAAATTCAATCGGATCCTACCGGGGCTCTCTTTTTAGTATTTCTCAGTTTCTAAGGTTAAATTGTAATTCCATCTGGAGCCCCAAACAAGATGAGCTGTGGAATTTTAATTTACTATTTAATTATTTAACGTAATATTCTATTTTTATTTATATCTTTAAATTTTGTTCATCTCTAATTATTAATTATTTTATTTATTTATTTGTTTGGCTTTCTTGACAATCTTTCGCAAGGCTTCAGCACATCTAATTTTAGATGTTAAGCTTCAAATCATTACCATCTTCCTCCATGCTTCACTCTAGGCAAAAGAGAGCTGAAAGCATATATACGTATCTGAAAGAGCTCTCTTGTTATGAAATGTGCAAGAAGCGGGGTGAAAAAAGATGGAAGTGGGCTTATTGCTGAAGAATACCTATTTTATTTCATGTTCACACTGTCTACGTTTTGAGCTTCTGACGCTACTGAAATCAGCGTTTAGTTATGGGCAATGGTTATCAACGGCTTTGCTATAGTTGCCGCAACTAAGTATTTTAGCCCTTTGAAACTTCTGACAAGCAAATTTTTTTTTTGTGTGTGTATATGTTTATGTGTGCGTGAAAATGGGTGAAATCAAAGGAATGTTAAGTCCTGCTGTAATCTGAGTAATCGATGTTTTATGTTTTTTAAATACATTCTTTTTCATGCTCTAGCACCATTTCAAACAATTTCCTCATATCTACTCATTTACATTAATTGGATGAAGTTATGCGCTTTTCTACACGTATATGTGTGCAATGTATCATGTGTATATTTCATGCATATGTGACCTTCACAAATTAAAAAGACCTGTTACCTTAATAATGAACACACCAGAAAAACTGCACCAGTAATTTGCTACTTTTTGGACTTAGATATATTCCCCACTAAGTCTTATAATCTCCATGTTTGAATTAATACCTTTAATACCGCTAAAAATTCAAATTTTTCATTTTGCTGCTGTTATTAAAATCCAAAATCCTTCAGGATTCCCAACCAGAATTGTATATACGTTGTTAATATATAGTATAATTATGTGCGTGCTATGTTCACCGGGTCTTTCAGTTACATTTTCCGGTCCGTTGTGAAATTCATTACCGCATGTCCTTTTGATGGTCAGTATGGTATTTGTGGCAATATTTTAAAGTCTTTTCTAAAATGCTGTACATGAGAGAAATTGACTTTTCAGATTGGTTTGATGAAATAGCGTTTGTAGGAAGAATTACGTGTTACATCTTAGTACTATCCAGTTTACAATTCAAAGACCATCAGAAGGAAGTTAAAATTCTCTGAGCATAACATGTTTCTGGACCTGTTATGAAAACCTGTATTTAAACAGAATTTATTTGCTAAATTTGTATAATTACGTACTTTAGTCTCGATTTTTATAAACTTACATTAATTAAGACAACATTTACATTATGAAAGAAAGTAAGAAAGCAAAATATCTTAAATTATAAGCTAATATATACCAGGTGACAAAAAATATCACGACCGGATAAAGCTGGTCATGCCTCTAGAATGTTAGTCAACGAAGTTTTAATCTATAAGTTTAACAAATGTAAGATACGATGTTAAAATAACTTTTCATATTCCATTAGCTTGCTAGGGCACATACATATTACAGATAACAAGAGCATATTGAGCTTCTGTGGCGACTTACGAAACCAGCTCATTCTGCCATTAAAGTCGGAGCCAAAAAGATACCACCAATGTTCGGTGGTTTTACCTCTACGCACACTGGTTACAACTGATGAAGAATGGTACTATGTCACAGAATTTGAAGATACTCCAGAAAGAATATCATGGCGAGAAACTTTTTAAGATCACCATTTCTGAAAGTAAGTATAAGTAAATATCGATAATAAGCATCACAATTACAAATATACCACCTGTGCAGAACGGCAAAAGTGGCTGGAACTGTCGGTGGTAGTTTAAAAAAAAGGGTTGAATGCATTTTGCGGCAATGTATGCATGTCTGCTTCAAAGAACAAAAATATTTTGCACATTTTTTTTCCAGGTACTGATTCAGTACACTTATGGAAATCAAAATATTATATAGGGTTATAATATATACTTCACATTATATCATTACTGTATAAAAGAAAAACATTCATTAAAATCGTTTCCTATTTTGAAGTAAAATTATCAAAATATTAATGTGAGATTATTTCAAATGGCCTCTCTTCCTTACCCTCTGCCAGCGAAGATGAGGACAAAATCTTTATCGTCTTCTTCCTTCTCGACAAAACGGATGCAAGTTTTTGATTCATATTCTGCCATAGCTTTCTTTATCATTTCCATTTGCTTATCGTCTGTGCATAAAATAAATGTTAAAGAGAATATACATAAATAGTAATAGTTTGTTCTCTAAACTCTTTGAGGACTACATTTTAAAAAATAAATAATGTAGACTATTATTGATAAATTAGAATAAAATAAATTAAAATAATGGAAAATTTGCAATTTGTTAATTCAAATTTCCCTTAAGTGATTTTTTAAATTACCCTAGGGCTAGATTTCTGTGTTTTGCGCTCTCCTTTTTTATGAGAAATAGGAGCTCTAAACGATAATATAATTTTATGAATGACGAAGATCGGCTAATCGTAGGTGGGAAAAAATTAGATAATGATTTGCGTCCTCTTTAACCCAAAAATGAATGTCATCTATTCGATCATGAATGTAAGATTTGAAAAAGACACATAAAATATTTGTAAAATAGTACATTGAATCGAAGATTAAACTCATTGGTTATTTGAACTGAACAGCATTTCAATCTGCAAAATGCTATAATAATTCTCAACTGTCTAAGAGTCTATCCCGAAGCTAGGTATTTAAATCACCATCAAAAAGGAAGGGGAGCAAGGAGAACGCGCCATTTGAATATTCCAGAAAAATTTGGCTTAGAGTTTGAAAATGTATTTTCTAAAATGTTCAAAATTTCACCAAATTCGTAAGAAACCACTAAATGTAGCCAGTGTGGAGGCAAAAATTTATAAAAAAATTTTATAGCCAAAAATTATAACCTTTATCTCTCATTCTTCTTTACTTCCACCTTTTCAACGTCTATTTACATATAATTAAAGGAATGGAACTAATAAAACATTTAAGCACATTAAAAAATAATAAAACACTAAAGCCCATTAAAAATAATTCAAAATACTTAATAAAAAATTTTAAAAATATCTGAAAGGTTTCAAATTTTAAATTTGTCTGTCCAAAGGGGCGTTTTTTTAACATTTTGTGTGTTACCTTTATTTATTAAATATCATGTTCTTCGCACTTGAACCATAAAATTCAGTTCAAGAGTAATATCGCAAAATAACATTTAATTGAGCATGTCTTTAGAATTTCCGATATACACAGTCTCACGCCGGTGTCTTCCTGTTTGCGCGGTTGTCAAAAACGTTCCTGTTTGCGCGAAATCATCAATCTTCATTACCCCCCTTCCAAAGGGGTTCCATAATGGGGGTCCGACTGGGCGTTGGCCTCTTCCGAAACGTAGGAAAGCAAAAATTTTTTAGATTTAAAAAAAGAATTTTTAAAAGAAATAATCGAAAGATATTTACGAAGTCTGAGTTTTTGTATATCTTTGCATAAATGAAGTACTGTATTTAAAAGGGAAGAGATGTTCAAACTCTGTGATGATTTTGGCAATGAACTAAAAAATCGTTTCTAAAGTAAAACAGTATTCTTCCGAAATTCTGCATAAAGGTGAATTATAATAAAATCTCAGAATATATATTCTTTACGAAAAGAAAGACAGATGAGAAGAAAATATACCTCGAATATCAAGGCAGCTTCTGAGAAAGCTTTGTCCTAGCCAACAGGAGCTTTTTTTTTTTCCTAGCTGTAAATTGTCAAAGTCTTAATTCAGAAATATACGAGTAGCATCTGAATCTCGATTGAATGGACTTGCTTTACTTGCATTTATCGGAATATCCAAATACATTAATTACATCCAAATACCAAAACAGAATATCCAAATGCATTACCATTGATAAATTTATTAATTGTCAAAGGTAAATTTGTTACTTTCAAAGATTTAATTCAGAAATTCCAGAAGCATAGCGCACAATTCAGCAGTGATTGTATATATTTATCATACTAATTTAAAATAATTAATTATGAGTATATACTTGTTAGTAATTATTGACAGTAAATATAAATAGTTAAAGAGTATATTTTAAATAATTTATTTTTATATACGCATATGTATTTGTATATAATGAAATTCTTAATTATTATCAACTTGATATTATTTCATTTTAAAATGCTCTTTTTCTAAATCTCCTATTCATCTAGCTTCTCTTTTAAGAGAAACTGTACTTTGTGAGTCACTTTGAATTCCTACTGTAAATGCGATTCCCAATTTAATTTATTCCTATGGTGGCAATATTAAAAACTTCGGAAACACTGGTTCAACAGTTGTAACTGAAGAGTAAGTACAATCAGCTTCTTTAAGGCAAATATCAAACGACTTTAGTTTACTCTGACGATGGATATTTAAAAAGTGGAGAATTCAGTATTCGTCGAATATTGCGATATTCTGATATTCCCTTAAAATTCGTGCTTTCGAAATCTCTGATAATCTCTTAAAATGCATGCTACGATTAGAAAATTTAATAAATTTGATTACAGTGTGACGTTATTAGGTTTAATCAATGCAGCAAACGTGAAAAATATGCAGTGCCCTCCCCGAGTCTCGAACCCTGGACCTCTCGAATACACGCCCGGGTATGCTTCCATAATCACGAAGGCATGCGGAAAGGAGGCAGAAAATACCTTATAACTAAAATTATCAATTTAATAACAGAGAAAATTCAACTTTCCTTCACACTTTTCCACGCTTAGGACTGGCAGTAAAAATACTGGCGTGTTTAAAAGTTGTGTGATGTTAGTCACTTTCCTTGTTTAAAAAAAAAAAAAAAAATATTATTAAGTTATTTTTAGAGAAAATTTTCATATGTTTTAATCGAATTTTTTGTAGATAAGAAAGAGATAATAAGCACTTTCTTATATTTTATGATGAGTAAAATTCTTGCATAATACGTTGGATTCTTTTCTCTTTTTTGACCACACTTGTTTTCTTTTTTTCCCTTCTAAATTTACATAACGACGATCTATAAAATAATCACTTTCTTTAGCTCCGTTTTTCAAAAATTTTATCAGTTCTAGAGCTTTAGGATGGATTTTCCTAATAACAGAATTTACTTTATGATGCCATTCTTCAACAATATTATTTGTCCTGTGCAATTTTTTAATGCAATTCCACATTTGTATAGTTACGACGTCATTTTCAAGCCATTGTTCAACAAAGTAATCATAAAATGCCTCTAATCTTGCATTACGAGGTGAACTTTCTTGTATGCACAGCCAACCATCATCGACACATTCCGCGGGTATGTATGCAAGGGACGCGCACATTCTGAGATGGGATCTAATTTCGTCATTATGCCTATATTCGTTAACAAGTCCCAAATCTTGAATCTTTCTCCACAGACACTGATTTAAGTAGAAATTGCAACCTCTTATATTTAAAGAAGGAAAAATATTTTTCAGCGAAATTATAACTGCAATTTCAAAATCCATCACAATTTCTGTAGGATCCCAATCAGAAATATGTTTTTTAATTAAACGAAATAATCTCTCATAAGTCTGCTTCCGCTTATCAGGAAGTAAGCAAAACAACACAGGAACAAAATTAATCTCGTTAGAGGTATTTCCAATATCAACATAGATAGTATAAATTTGAGAGAAAAGCTTTTTATGCAAATCCAATAAACTACATTTTCCTTATTTCTATTCCCAATTCGATATTGATAACCTTTGTAAAGGGCTAAAGGCTTTTTCCTTTTAGTTTCAATAATCTCTAAAACATCCATACTGATTTAGATAGGAAAAATAACAGCTAATACTAAAGATTTTATAGTGGAATGAAACTAAAGATTTCGAGAGGAGCCTAAACTAAGACACGTCTTCTGCCTAACAATGTCAAGACTATGACTAACTTATTCACAAAGGAACTGCCCAGCTCTTCTTAATGACTCATCCTGACATCTCCTGAGGAACTTTGGCATGGAGGTAGGAAAGGGAGGAGGGGCCAACCCGCGCTAAAAGTGAAGCACTGCTTTGAAGCTTGGGTCACCAGATGGGGTGTTCTTTGTTTACATTCAGAAGCTCGCTTCACAAGATTCTGATAGTATTTCGACACACGACAGTTCCATAGAAATCGAAAAAGGGACACTCTCGCATGAAAGAAACATTCATAGTGTAATGGATAATAGCAATTTGTATAGTTTAGTGACGCTTACGCAAAAATCACATCTTGGTTATTTTTCGATAACTAACAACAGCGATTTTGATTATGAATTTGTTTTATAAAATCATAAGCTGTTGCACTACAAAAATATAGATTTTAAGAAAAATGTTATGCTTGAAGAATGAAAAATTCCTTACGGTACATTTAAAATTGTATACGCCTTTCGATACCCTTGATAGAGTATTCGCTACTTTTATTTTATTTTCCAAACGTCAAAATGTTTTAAATAAAACAAATTTTTTTCACATCCATATATTATTGTAACATGTACCTTTTAAAATTTTTTAGAGGAGAGGCTTTACTGCTGCTCATTTGATAATGACCCATCGCTTTAAAACGTTTTATATATCTGAAAAATTTGAATCACTTTGATGGCTTACACGTTTTATAAATATAAAATTATGCATGTTAAAATATTTGTAATTAGGCACATAGGTCAGATTAGGTTAGGTTTTTATTAAATAAAGAGTAACGCATGCAAGGGCTATCTGCCTAAAGAGAGAGATGCCATCATGGAGGAATTTTGAAGTAAAAAAAAACTGACCTTTGAGTGTGTGTATTAAAAATAATACTTATAATTTTCATTAAAATTATATTCATATATATTTTTTATGTAAAAACTTTCGGGTGTATGCTAAATTAGTGTAAATTACTTTACACGAAAAATATAGTGAATGTGAATGCACAGAAATTAAAGATTTGCACATGCCGGAAAATGAAAAATAGGAATGAAATATGTATGGGCATTTATGCATGTGTTTGCAAAAAGCATGTATCGCCTTGACAAAAAAAAAATACTTAAATATTAATTAAATTATTATAAAAAGTATTTGAAATGAAGAATTTATTCACTTATAAATAACTGTGAAAGTACTGTGAAGAAATCTAATTATTAAATGTATCTAATTTATAATGATTATAAATGTTATCTAAATATATAATAACCTTAATATTGAATTGTAAACATAAATTGAAATCCTGTTGACAAATACGTTA